TATACCGCCTCGGGTGTTGGCACCAAATTGTTTTGTCCCAGTTTCTGTGACCGGCCAATAGAAAGACGGGACCAGAAAGGCTGAGCAAGTAGAGTTTATTGTTCCCGGGCAGCAGGTGAGAGGGAGCTCCCTAGAGTGGGGTCCGCAGCTACTGCCTGTGCTGTAGGGGAAAGTGTCTCTTATATAGGTTCTAGGTTCAGATTCTAAAAAGGTGACGAGTCGCTGTGCACCTGGATACAAGGCCCAGTTTGCTCTGGTCCTTGTGTTATTGCCCATCTCTGGTCACACAGGTAGCCGTTGTGTTACTGCCCCTATCTGGTCACCCTCACCAGATTTTAATTTATTTTTTACATTGTTTTTCATTTTGTGCATTTTTCTATCTCAGTTGTAAGATCCGTCAGCTTCCCATGACCAAATCACTCGTGGGCCATCACCATAGTCACGTGCGCTCTCCTCACGCCAATTTTGATCCTATTCCCCTCTCTACCTCTGTAAAATATCTCTGGTTTATAGTAGCTCATTGTTTTTTGTTTTTACTTTATTATTTACTTTATTACTTTTTTTTTCCTGATCCCTTATGTTGAGCATATTGAATTTTAAGAGTTCTTCATATATTCAGGATACAAATTTTTTTATCAAGTGCTTATGATTTGAAAATGTTTTCTTCCAATCTGCGGATTGTTTTTCATCCTCTTAATGTCTTCTGAAGAGCTGGTGTTTTAAATAACAGTGAAGTCCAATTTATTGATTTATTCTTTATGTTCTTTGTGGCATTGCATAAACCAAGTTAAGATTTTATATGTTTTCCTCGAAAAGTTTTATAGTTTTATTTTTGAGTCTGTGATCATTTGGAGTTCATTTTTGTATGGCTTCAATGTATGGATGAAAGTTGTTTTTGTTTTTTCAAAAATAATGTAATTTCTCCACTGAATAATCTTCGCAACTTTGCCCAAAAAGTCAGTTGACCAGAAACAGACCTGTATGAGCTATTTGTAGGCTCTAATCTGTTTCACCGGTCTGTTTGTATGTCTGGATTTTGATTCCACACTCTCATGATTATAGTAGTTCCATATTTACATGCATTTTTTTCACTATGACTTTGGCTATCTAAAGTCACATTTCCATATAATATTTTTAATTAGTGTATCAATATCTGCAAAATAATAATAATAATAATAATAATAAACCTGCTAGATTTTGACTGGGATTGCACTGAATACAGGTCATTTGGGGAAACTGATGTATTTTATTAAGTCTTTCAATGAATGAACATCTTTCCACTTACTAAACTCTCCTCTATCTTATGGTTTGTGGTTTCTGTTCAACAGCAGGTCTTGCACAAATTTTTGTCAGGTTTATCCCTAAGAATTTTATTTATTTTTTTGCTTATTAAAAATGTTTTTCAATTTTAAATTTCTAAGTTTTTATTGCCAATATGTAGAAATACCTCTCTATGACATGTTTATTTTTTCTTTAGCTGTTTTTATGACATTTCTCTTAATCATTAGCTTTGAATAATTCGATTATGATATGCCTTAGTGAAGTTTTTTTCTTTTATGCTTGGGGTAATTTGAGTTTCTTGAACATGTATTTGTAGTTTTAATCAAACTTGTAAAAGCTTAGGCTTTCTCAAAGCTTTTGTTCTTCTGTCTCTTCTCTCCTTTGGTGAGTCTAACAAAATGAGTGGAAGTTTGTACAGTGCTGTCCCACTGCTCACTGATATGCTTTCCGTTATTTTTTAAATAGTTTCTGGTGCTACATCTTCAAATTCACTGATCATTTTTCCTGCAAAGTCAAATCTGTCATTAATCTCAGCCAGAGTATTTTTCATCTGAGATATTACAGTTCTCATTTTCATTTATTTTCCTGAATATAAGAAATAACATTTTTAGCAACTATTTTAATGTCTTTATCTACTAATTATGTCTGTACTTTTTGGGTCAGGTT